CTGAAAAACAACTAAAACAATGAAAGCCGCATGAATGCAAGGTATGAAACAATTACAATGAAATGAATGCACTGACCTGGTAGTGAAAACTTTCGAAACCAAAGAAATAATTCATTTTAACAGCAACGGAAACAAAAAATGAGGTGAAACGCAACATTTGTGAACAATACGCAACAAGATAAGTCGTGAATAACTGCAGGATAAACGGAATAACAAACGCGTACACGAACAGCTACGGAACTGCAATCCAACAAGGCCGACTAACATGGACGGAAATGACCTTTCAGCGTCTCACTCCACCAATGACCTTGTAAGTTACGGATTATTTCAGTGCAGCTGGGTTTCCGTCGAAACACCGAGGTTCGTACTTATGAAGCCTGATATTCCTATTATCTCTAGACGGCGAAATATTAACATCAACCATATCATGCTTAACATCAAACACATCGTTACATGTAACGGACAAATCAACATGACTTACTTTCCTATTTGCTTCCAAGACGCTCTGTCCCTCCATTGACTCAGGCATAATTGAACTTGACCAAAATTCCAGAAAAGTTCCAGATAACGCTTGTTCAAAGAAGACTTGGCCGGCACCAGGAAAGACGGACGGAGACTATTCAACTGTCAGCAACTGTCAATCAAGTCTCATAGACCGTCAATGCCCAGCTCTTGCTACGCTGGGTATCACGCTATCCCTCGAAGACTTTCAGAAACACTTAGTATTAACCGAATCAAAAATCAAAACACTGTTTGGAGACTCACGAATTCTTTATTCTTACGCCAACATATAACCAGCAATACTGTCATTACAGACTAAGGTCTAAGAACAAATATTACAACAATAAATCACGATATTACTTCTGACAGTTTTTCGATCTTCATTCTGAACAGCGAACAATGAGACGATGACTGGTGGATTGACGCCTCCGCGAAAATATGAAGAAGTTGGGTTTGAGCGAACAACCATGAATTGATCGTTCAATCCTCAACTACATTGACACCATCTTTTGGGCGAGCGGGAGGTTATGGAAGGCTATAACCCGTTTCTGCTTGTGTTGGGTTTTAACAGTTGAGTGTGGGATGATTCGTATGGTCGGAGTGCAGCATTTGAGAATAGACACACATATAAGAATGCTCATAAAGCTGTAAAAAACTTGTCTGACTCTTTGCCAAAGACTGTCATGTGTCGTTCTATATGGAGCATATGACGTAGGGTAACCTATTAATCATGGAAGGATAAGCACAACTTGGGTGGCAGGTGGTAGTTATCGTTACAGTGTCTAGTTGCAATACATATATGCATATATAATTGGGTTCGTTTGCTTCATAGGGGTTTAGGCTGTGTAGGCTTGGCAATCTAGTCTACTTAGTCTGTTGCATGATTTCAACGTTCCATTCAGATGAAGAGGGCTGTAGATCTTTCAAATAATGTGAACTGGTGAGTCGATTTAGAATAGAAGGCTAGCTTTTGATGAATAATTATAACCACCGTGTATGATAAAAGTTCACTTTCTGATCAAATTAGGTGTATTGCTCTGGCGAGTATGAAAAGTGATCAGTGGAATGTAAGAACTATTCTGACAGGGTTTCTGAATGGACTCTGTGAAGCTGATGGAAATTAGCATCTAGTCCTACGTCAAAATTACGTTGGGTGGAGCGTACTACTATTATCCAACTTGAAGTTTCTCCGTGGCCACTGCAGATAATTTAAGACAAACTTTGCGCTCACTACGGAACATCGGGACACAACTTAGGTGAACTGCTGAAGCAGTGGGGCTAACTTCGGGTCTGCTGAAGTAAGAAGAACAGTATTTGGCACTTTCTGCCAGCTGGGTGACTAAACGTTTCGCAAGTGTTCTAATTTTGGAAAGTACTTTAAATAATTCAGCCTTCGAAGATTTCTCGAGCACTGCATAACACCCATCCCCGTGGTAGACCATGAAACAAATAGGAAGGCCAAAAAGAAACGTTCACGACGTCGCAAGACGACAAGAACGCTCCCCAAGAAGGCAGACGACTGCAAGGTCTGCGCTTCTGTTGTCGAACAAGCAGACTCTGCTTTCGAATGTAACTTTTGCAAGCGATGGGTGCATTGCAGATGCGACAATGGGGTACCAAAAGCATATTATGACTTTATGCGTAAAAACCCATGCCAATGGTTCTGGTACATATGCCCGAGTTGCCGTCCTGATGTAGCCTCGCGTAGTCCTTTGAAAACTAAAGTTGGCGCAAAAGTAGCGGGGAAATATGTGAAATGTTCGACCCTCACCAATCCGGAAATTAGTACAAACGCATGTAAACCGGGGATACCAAAATCCTCACCGGTTAAACTTGTAACTCTTGACATAACCGCTCCAGACACAGAGGCTGGAGAACCACGGGTTTCCGTCGTTGGAAAAATACCTCTATCGTCTGCCAGTAATACTGGCCATAGCACTGAGACACACAAAAATACCCAGTCGCACCAGACGAAATAAAACGGTCTTAAAGGGGATCACAAATGCGCGAGGACCGAGCCAAAGCCCACGGTTAGTAGATCAAATTGTGTAATCCTCTTTAACGTACCAGACTATAGCAGTAGTCTGCTGAAAGATAGGCCCCTATTTGATCAGGAACAGTGGTCCATCTTGTGCAGCACACTGGGTTTGGACATCCAACCAGTAAATCTATGCAGATTGTATAGGGGCACTGCTGCACCTGAAGGCAAACCATCCCCACTGAGGGTGACATTGGGCTCTACCGAGGATGTTGAAAAAGCGTTACTGGCTTCTCAAGTCCTTTCTATAGGGAGGGCCTGTAACATACGTGTTAAGCCAGACAGGCCGTGGAAGGAAAGACAAATAGCGAGGGAGTCGCCAGAGCTCATTCCTTCTGCCTCCATGGTTGTGCATGGCATTCCCGAACTGGTAACTGGGAACGCCTGCGAAAAGCATTGTCATGATGTACAACAATGGAGATGGTTGGCATCCCAGATGGCCCTGGGAAGTTCAGGGGCTATCTCTATTTATAGACTGCCTCGACCCACTCATCTTATGTCAATTAACTCGCCACGTCTGTTAGCTGTCAAGTTCAGCTCCCAAGACCAGTTGAATACCGCTCTCCATAGATGGTACATATTCGCTGCTGCGAGAGCCGGCCTCGCACTCAAAGGAGAGAACAAAGCGTAGTTAAAAAAATCCTCAACCCCTAGTCACACTACAGCGGTGCAGCACGGACGATGATAGCCAGTGTCATCCGAGTGCTCCAACTGAACTAGAAGAAAAAAACGCCAACAGGCCGGTTCCTGGGGAATCGGCCAACTAGTTCGTAGGATAACTCCTCAACCGATAGCCAATATCAAGTCAACTACCCCCCAATACGGGGAAGTGGTGAGACTGACTACCAGTTGCCTGTACGGTAATGTGAGAGGGCTAAGAGGCAAAATAGCTGAACTTAGACACCTACAATCACAACTGAACTCCAAAATCATAATACTGACGGAAACCTGGCTAACCCCTACGGTGGCAGACAGCGAAGTCAGTATAAATGATATGGTCCTAGTCAGGCGAGATAGGGACCTGAAAGAAGGAGGTGGAGTCGCCATATACGTCGACAAACAGCTCAGATGTGTTCACGCGATGGACCCTCCCCTCACAGAGCTCCCTGACTCCATATGGTGCCACTTCACCGTTGGGTACTGCAAATATCTAGTGGGCAGCATTTATCGATCACCTTCATGTGGAGCAGACCACAACCAGGTACTGCTAAATACAATCTCAGCAACTCAAGACATGGGTTATGATCAAATTGTCATAGCTGGTGACTTCAATGCCCCATCTCTTAACTTGGTGTCGGGAAAAGCCCATGATAGATTTGATCGAAATCTGCTGCATACCATCAGGAAGGCTGGATTCACTGAAAATGTCAAGATGGATACTAGATGGGGCCCTGATGGGAAGTCTTCTAGACTGGATTACGTGCTCACTAGTGACCAGCTACTAGTGGAAAACGTTCAGATCACGACTCCCATAGGTAGTAGTGACCACGCGGTCATAGTATTCGACATAGTCCTCCGCGAGCGCTTACAGTGGGACAATACACAGCCCTATCTGTGTTATAACAAAGCCAATTACACCAAAATGCGAAGACTTCTGTCTGAAGCAAATTGGCCTAAAAAATGGACCGAGCTAACAGTTGAAGAACACTGGAGAGTGGTAAAGGAGATCATTCACCAGGCGGTCTCAGTCACTGTTCCTTTAGTCACACCAGAAGCTAGGAAGCAACGTTCATGACTAAAAAGGGGGACACGACGCCTTCTGCAGGCGAAGCGAAAAGCCTGGTTTGCGTGGCGACGATCGAAGAGTCAACCCGAACATGAGGTGTACCTTGAACTCAGGAATCGATGTAACATACGAGTCCGGAGCGATAGAAGGACATTTCAGGGAGACCTCGCCAATAAGCTTCTCGTGAACCCCATTTCTTTTCGCTTCGAGTTTGCGGTCTCTGGTACGCTTTACCGGAGGCCGTGACTACAGCGCCATCTGTGGAGATTTTTAAGCGGAAGCTAGACAATCATGCAGAAATGCAAGGTTTGTGTCTCAATGGCTTATCCTCATAAAACTTAAAACCACACTGTCAGTGGATAAGCGTACAAACTAAATCCCCACGAACTATTCTGCCTTCTCTCACTCTATCTTTTCCTTAGGTTACCTTTATTATTCCACTTATCTCAACCTATATTATCTACACTACAACCTATTATTATTATTACTATTCTGCTTTTATGACTACACCGAATGACCAACGGGAGTTAGGTCAAACTCCATTCACGGCAGCAATACAGTCCTAACATACTGCATACTACAAACCACATCTTGACCAATCCCCGCACCACTCCTCTTGGAGTCTACCAGAGCTAAAGCAGTCGAGTGGCGGGACTTACTACGCAGAAGCTCACCGAAGATCTGGAACCTCTACCTCAAAATCAAGAAGCGAGCTCAAAGAAATCACTGGTTTATACTAGCTCGTAATCAGGATATTGGATATTGGAAGTTAGCAAACAATACAGGCGGGGTTTATAAATTACTCATGATCAGCTGATTATGTCGACTGACAACAAAAACCATAATGAAGTGGAGGTTCTGGAATATACTACCGTGAAAGTATAAACAGTTTATTTTTAATTGCTTCTTAAAAAGGCCAGTTATGAATCGCTTAACAAGCGGTACAGACGTAATCACAGAGATATGGAAAAAGGCGTAGCGGCATTAAATAAATCGCTTGATGAGTTAGAAAATGCATCAGATATCTCTAAAGCAGCTGAAGCTCTTCAGAGAGTCTTGGAAACTATGTGCGGTGTGAAGCGCAAGGTAAACAATTCCAATAAAAATCCATTCCTTAAAGGCTGAATACATGTGTTTCGAAGAAAGAAAACTATTGAAGTCGTGCAAACGGCGAATCGAACATCTGAGTCAACTATGTCTGCTCAACAGTGGGATCCATTGCAAGGTTTCAGGTCAGTTGGTGGCGAACTGTTAATCCGATTTGAACGTAGAAAACAGTACTGCATTTAGGATTGTTTATATTCTAAAAATCAGTTCAAGTTGCTATTCTTTACGTGACTCCCTTAAGCATGCTATAAGTTTTAAGATAGATTAAAAACTGTTGGAGTTTAGTTGTGACTTAGATTTTTACCAAATGGACTCAAATTAGGTCACCAGGCACAGTATTTTACCAAATTCTGTTTGGAATTTGACGTCCAAGAATGCTAAGGGAAAATAATTCACAATCACCCTCAATTTTCAATGCAGTTCATCAGGCTTACTCGTTGCAAGTCGACCGGTTTTTCTGTATGTATTTTGACTCTAGACTTCACCGATATTTGCAAGGTTGGGCGCATATCTCATGTGAATCGTATTAAACACATATATCATACGACTGAATCATCATTGGCATTTATTGTCTATCCTGGTAGTAAGTTTTGTATGGCTTTCATTATATCTCATCAATGGAGTGTCGGTTTCGCTCCAAGTAGATTATTAGAGGTTTGCAGTGTTGATGAACTTACATGTTGTTTAAGACAGGAGCTCATAGAAGACATTTGATGAACTTTCTTTCATGATCTTTTGGTATATAAAAGGCCTACAACTTCAGAGCTGACGTTAATTCACCTGTATGTTGAGTTTATTTTCCCTGTAAGTCATAAGGTCCCATGAAATAGTTGAACAATACATTCAGTTTACACTTGTATGAAATTCCTTATGGTGGATATTGAGCTTTTCATAAATTTTCAGTGACTTATTCCGCAGTATCGATTTCAGTTATTTGTACTAATTTAGACATCTTAGATGTTTACACTTTAGTGATAACTTCGAAATACTTTTCCATTGTATTGTTTCTGTAATGAAACTGGGCTTGACAGCTCTTAAACCTCACTGGCTGTTTTGGCCTTAAAGCAAAATTCATAAGTGTTTTTCAAGTAAAATTTAAACGAAGAAGTGGTAATTCGAGATGTTTAAAAAAATTTATTCCTTTACGTTCCAGTGGAACAGTGCCTCAGGCTAGAGCTTTGAAGTTTCCGTAGCAGCGGTGTTCATTTTTACGAGTCGGGGGTGCTAGCCTCATGCCCAACCTTCCCCCTTTACTGGTCTTATTATCGGCTTTAAGAGGTAAAGGAGTGCGTCGGCCGGGGTCGAATCCCGAACCAAATGCGTGGTTGGCGAGCATTCTACCGCTAAGCCACCGATGCAATTCAAAGTGTAACAATTTATCATTCAACGAATTCGATGGAGTTTGTTGTTAACCTGCCACATATTATGGCAGGATTAGATATCACTTCCTTGTAAAGCGTACTCATTTTTAAAGGTTATAAGTAATATTGACTGGATTAATCTATGTATAAGCATTGGTGTGATTTTAAGTAGGGATTTTGCTCATTGACTTGGTCCTTGGTCCGTCTTTTAGTCCGAGTTCATCTACTTGATCCTATAGCACTAGATATATCATTAGCTTTTACACAGCAAATCTGATCTTCAACCTGGTACATAAAATTGGAATAGCACTATATATCACTAATCGGCAAAAGCTATATATCGTGATCCATTGGATTCTGTCTCGGTAGCTTAGGGGTCAGTGGACTTGCCTTGCAACCTGAAAGTGTGAGGTTCGACCCCTATAAGGTCATGGTGATGCACTAGTGAGCAGGCTCAAACTAAGGGGAAACGTCTGTCCAGTACTCCCTGGTTTTCAGTGGTTCGCTAAGTGATGTAACTTCGTGATCTAACTAGAAATAGTGTTTTCGGTCCAAGCTTTTCTAACAAATTAATCTTAGCACTGTTCAGATAGACAAGACAATTCTTGTTAATTTTACTCCTAAACACTTTAGTGTTTTGTAAGGAGCTAGAAGTAATTTACTGTGTCTGTTCAATAGCTTTTTACGATAAAACAGTACTTAACAGGGGGGGGATAGGATTTAGGTGAGCTTTCACCTTCAGATTGAAAATGAATGAAATGCTTATCAATAGCCGCTTGCCATTCCATGCATTTCCGATTGAGCCACATCTATTGCGTGAGGGCTAGTTGTACTACCTGACTGCCAAACGCCGGTAGGTAGAATGGTTCGCAGTCAAATACCTTAACCAATGAGCATACCTCCACTTTACATTAAAAAAATGTAGTTAGTGTGAAACATTAGTGCAATTACTTCGTGGGAAATCAAAAAATTTGGAAAATACTTCTCCATTGTAATCTTGTTACACCATTTTCTAGATTATACATAATCACTATCCGATATATGAGAATATGTTTTCCAACACAGCTTTAGTCCCAATTTAGGATCACTTCCCTTTTTTAGGTATTATACAAGATGTAAGGCACTATTTATCAGACTACGGTTTGTAAATAAACTGTTAGTCATGCAGTACTGCATTTGGAAGGCGATTGATCCTCGTTTGTACTGTTAGGTTTGTGTCTGTTAAAGTTGATTGAAACTAGTTAATTTGGTTAAAATATTATAAAAGACTTGCTCATGGCTTGGCTCGAATGTGGTCAACTAACTGTCCGCTAAAAACGGTTGTACTTCTGGATAAGTTTAGATGAATCTCTGACTGTTAGGTGACGTCTTTGAGAATATCAGAATCCGAGGATAAACTAAAACTGGCATAGAATTTATCACTCTTCCTTAGTATTAAATCGTACTCCTCTGTGTCTTTTTTATTCTGTAGTATCATCTTAATCTGAAGACGTGTATTTGTTTCTCCTGATTGTTAAAGATGTATGTCTTGTAGTTTGATGACTAACCGTTGTGCCGTTCTCGACTAATGCATATTTTGCTATCAGTTATGTGGGGGTTTATACTACAACTTATTACGGAGATGGTATGATTCGTTTCTGCTCAATATATTGACATTATCTTGTTGTTACTTATTTGAAAATACTGGCAACGCAAAAATAATAAAACAACAACATAAGGGAAAGAGATGTAACAACAGTACTACAACGGTGAAGCATACGCATAAAGTACATTTTGAGGAGCATTCACTACTTCGTATTTACTTCAGAAAAAGTAACGAGGAAATCAGCCTGTTAGCCACTGATTTGGATTCGGAGTCGTATCTGATAATGCCTCGAGTTACTGAGCCGTTTGATCTTTCAGATCACACCCACGGAGCCACTATGCAATAACACATTTTATCACAACCATTCTTTATCTCACAGCTTCACCTCTGAGGTTTCTCTGCAGTCCCAGCATGTTATATAAGAGCTGCTGGGAAGTTAGTAATATATATCCAAGTCGCAAGAGCCGGTGTCTCAACGTGATATCGTTTACTAAAGGTTGACCTCTGTCATGTCCAACAGACGTCAGAATTACACCATGATGCTATCGGCTACAAGCATTTCTATGAAGACAGCGAAACTTAAACGTAAAGAGCTGGGACACGATCAACTCGTAGAGGATAGATTTTATAAGCGCAGAGCAAGACCAACCGTACCGCCGCGTTGTAAACTTAACTTTTGCTGGTGTGGCTAACGACACAAGAAGTGGCTTGGGTTGGCATTTGCTACCTTGGCTTTCACTCTGTGATTAGAAATTTCATCGGTCACATCTTCGCCAGTGACCGTATAAATACCTGCACATGTGAACTTCTGTACTGCTTTTAAGGGTTCACCTGTAAGGGTGGGTTCAGGTACATGGTCCTGCCAATTTCTTAACTGTACTTAGGACTTGAGCAGAGCAAAGGGTAAATCATACTTAGATGCTATCGATTTAGCTTGTGTATCTTTTTGGTTTTCTGATGTAGTTCTCATAATTCCTTCAGTGTAATGTAAATTACTGTTCTGCTTTAGATGAGGTAACTGGGAGTACTGGAGGTGGTCAAAAGTCTGAGGAATCGGTTTCAAAAAACGTCAGCATTGAGTCAGAAGTTACAACTAAACCTCGTTTGTCTCATCCTTTTGATGAATCCTCAGTTAGTTTGGCCAGATTTCAAAGGCACTTGACGGATTATCTTTTTACAAGCGGTCAACCCCAGTCTGCCTTAAAATTTGCCCAAGAAAAACAAGAACTTGGTGATCTGTGTATGTTGGAGGTTTATGATGAGGCTGTGTCTATCGAAAAAGCACTTTTAGAAGGAGACACGGGTCCAGCATTTGCTTGGTTACAAGAAGCCAACTTCAAGTTGAAAAAGAATGACGTAAGTTGACCAACATATTCTCATCTTTACTAAGGCAGTCGTAGGAAATTATTGCTTTCAAAATTGCTCATTGTTAATGTACTGTTCATATCCATATAAGCCATCGCTTATGTCTACTACTGGAATAGTGCACTTTTACGTGCCACTGTGTTTATGATTGTCGTGTCGTAGCGTAATATATTACATCGGTGTAGGTTGAAGTAGTGCAGTGGGGAATTTAGTACAAGCGGTTAGTAATCAAATATCTGAAAGCCTTGAGGTATTGAAGAGGTGAGTCACTTAGGTTCACGACACTTACTCCTTTATTCCTTTCTGAATAAAATCCAACAAAATCAGGCCTGCCAATCAATGATAGTCTTTTCAGTCATTGGGTTAGAATCTGATTACCAATACGTCCTCGAGTTAAATCCTATTTTTGAGAATGATGTACAAACAAAACTATGATTCTTTTATCCGTTAGTATTTTCTGATAAAATAATACTGTATTCTAATTTTAGACATCCTAAAACTGCATATCCTGTTGATAGGTGATGAATGACGTTGTACAAAGTGTATGTCAATTCACATTTCTGTTCCTGCATATGTGACTTTTTTTTCCACTACGTAAAAATCACTGGACTGCATTTTTCTAGCATTTTCTGCAATTATATCATACTTTCCAATGTATTATGATCTTTTATTATAACTTTCTTTTAATCAGTCTTATTATGAATTTGATCTTCGTGTCTTCGAATTCTATCTGCTTGTTAAACAAGGGAAACGAATCGATGCCATCCAGTAAGTTTTTCGGATAAGATTTCTTTTGTTTACAATGACTGACTTGGTTTTTTCTTCCACTTTAGTACCAATTATTGTGTACCTGATATAAAAAGTTATACAAGCTTGCGTTTTTGATGACTGTTGTAAAATTTCACTTAGGACTGTTTTGCAGGATTACTAAGTTTTTAAAATCATCAGTGATCATCATCACTATGGAGAGCGAAATTCGGACTTTTCAGCAACAATGCTGAGTCAGTCATTTCTTCTATATGACTCAGAAACTTGATGAGTCACAAAAAGCATTTCCAACAGCCTGCTGCAGACTTTTATCAACGGTCGCCTTCGTCCCATATTGAAGATCAATTGACCTAGGAGAATTAGCGGCAAGGAACTCTGGAAACCAACCAATCAAAAACCTGGTTACATGATTTCATCATGAGGTGACACTAGTTAGAGAACCATTGGAAAACCTGGAAGTACTGGACATCTGTTTCGTCCTAGTTTGGCACTCTTCATCAGTACACACCCACCGGGATTCAAACCCGGTTACAAGGCGAGCTCGTATACCATTAAGCCACTGGGACCCGATCCAATGGTCCTTGAATTCTAACTTCCGCCAATTCACGACATAGCGCGACCGCTAGCCAATGTCTTCGTCGAGTATTTTCCAATGGTTTTCTAACTAATGTCAGCTCATGATGAAATCATGTAACCAATTAACCAAATCCCTACAAACCAATACTTGAATAACAATCAAAGAAGTGTTGCACAACAAATGTGCCGAAGAATATGGAGATGAGATTAATTATAATTGTACCTCAGCAGTCTACACACAGTAACAAGTTTTTCGTTTTGGTAATATTTCGATCAAAATTACTACCCGTGATCACACGAACTGTTAGAATTGTTGTGTAAACTGTTGAAATATAAGTACAATTGGTTTGATTTATTCCACAATGCACAAACTTTTCACTGATATTAACAGTAGAGATGGATCGGTCACAGACTGAGGAAACCGTTGAATAACTTCGCGTGCCAGGTCATCGCTTGAGCACGACCCCAGTCGGGAAATGACGAGTGAGGCATCTGAAGGTGACATAGTGGGTGAGATGAGAGAATATTGGCGATCATGTTCCAGTCGGAACCAAAGGGAATAATAATGAATTTTATGTTTTACCTCACTATCTAAGACAGTAATCTTAACGACAGAAGGCAAGAGTCAGGCAACAGATCATTTATTAAGGAAATCAACACATATTTATAGATTTTCATGTACATATGATAGATTATTGTTAGCAAAAATCACAGTCCTCTGATTGGTTGTTTCTCACTGAAAGTTAACCTTGCATCTCTTTGTGACTGTTTCTTGAATGTCAGATCATCTATATGTTAACTTTATCCGCCTACGCAAAGCATTTGTTCTCATTTTTCTCACGACCAATATTGGGGACATAAACATTGACGTAAACTACTTTCCACCAATTTTGGCTAACAGCCAGCTCTCACCACATAATAAGACTGGTAAAGAGGGAAGGTTGGGCATGAGGCTAGCAACCCCACCCCGTAAAAGTAAACAACACTGCTACCGAAACTTTAAGTCCTTAGCTTGAAGCCCTATGTTCCATTGGGAACGTAAGGGAATAAAAGAAATAAGTCAAAGCGCTTCTCATCACCAATATCTATTTCTCAAATACTCTTTAGAAAGTAGAATATAATAAATATCTTCATTCTCTTTTCCTGAAACTATGCAGGGTGTCAATTTTAGTTTAGGCGATAAACTCTCTGCAATTTCCTGATGGATCTGACTTAAATCAGCTATGTTGCGACATGATTATAAATAGTTTTCAAATTCGGAAAATTATGAAATACTGCTGATCATAATAATCAGCCATCAGTATATTTCATCAACGGAGCTTCAATGTTCAAATTCATAAATTTGTCCTGAAAATACATCATTCGTAACATGTTGCAGTGTGTTTAAGAAAGAATATACTTATTTTCTTTGGTCAACTTATATTAATTATTGTTTTTGCATTTCTAGACATGCCAGAAAATACATGAGTTCGATAAAACAGGATGATGACTACCGCGCCAATAAACTTGGTCAAGCAATGATTTTACTGGCAATGCGTACACCTGAAGAACTACAAAGTAAAGCGGTGAGTTAATGTTTAAAAGAAAAAATATTTTGTAAGTTTTGCTGCATTTACAGATAGCTGAACTTGAAAATCGTCATTTTTTCCGATGTTTTACAATCGTTAGGTTACTATGCATGGAAACATTCGACTTTCTTTGAGTTCTATAAATCTTCATATTAACTGAATTTTATGGTCGAATTATTTTCGAAAAAAATTAGATCGATTTATAAAGAATGCCTTCTTAGAGTGTATTAACAACTTAGTTTACACTTAATAAATAAAGCGTGTTAAAATTACGTCTACATAATCAGTACAACCACCAAGCTTTCATACATTGGTCTCTTAACCACAATAATAAGCTGATTGCTTTCTAATATTAAAGCCTACAGATAGCGTATGACTTACTTATTTCCTTCCTCACGAAGGAAAACAATAATAGGTGTTTTCAATAAAAGTTATGTACTAATTCTTTGCACTGGAAGATATCCACTAAAAGGGAACAATACACACTTTGATTGGGCACTAGTTGGTAGCTAGTGTAACACGTGTAGTCCTTTGTTTGATGCAGACTAAATTCTCTCTGTGAAGTTTGCAATGTGGCCACCATTCTAGGTGGCTCACCATCACAGTGCACTTTGGATTGTTAATATTAGACGGTTGGAGGCAGTCGGCAGGAAGCCTTGTTTCACCTAGATTTCATGCTAGCTGACACGTGTCAGCAAGGCGTACCTGCAATCATGAAAGAACTTGTGTCCATTTTGAGATTCGAACCCGCGTCACCCTGTGGTGCAGTCAGAGACGTTACCACTGAGTTATTCGGATTAGCGATTGACACATTACACTAATTGCTAACTGCTGTCCAACCAAAGTATACAATACAGTCCTACAAGAGGTCAATCGCGAGCCCGAATAGCTCAGTAGTAACCTTTCTGACTGCAACACATCTGAATTGGTAACAACCAGTGGTGTCCGACAGGGATGTCCACTCTCCCCATTTCTGTTTAACTTCATCATAGATATGCTGATGGAAGTATCCTTAACTGAACGTAACGACTTAGGAATCGACTTGTTACCAGGGAATAGTCTTATGGACTTAGAATATGCAGATGACATAGTCCTGTTAGGGGAGGATGCTGACAAAATGCAGAGTCTTCTGAACACCTTGAGCAGCAATCTCCGTATGTTTGGCATGCGATTCGCCCCTACAAAATGTAAGATGCTGCTACAGGACTGGACCACGTCAACTCCTAACTTAGTGATAGGGAGTGAAGTGATAGAACATGTTGACCACTTCACCTATTTGGGAAGTTGTATTAGCACCAACGAACTGATTGGCGATGAAATCTCAGCACGGATCCGAAAAGCTCGAGCTGCTTTCGCTGACTTACACCATCTCTGGCGTAGGCATGACATCCGGTTATCAACCAAGGGACGTGTGTACTGCTCATCAGTTCGCTCCGTCCTTGTCTATGGCTCTGAAACATAGCCAATACGAGTTGAAGACATGAAAAGGTTGACTGCTTTCGATCATAGATGTCTGCGATCTCTGTCTCACGTTAGGTGGTTTAATAAGGTAAGTAATGTTGACGTTCGGCGTAGAGTGTTGGGCAAAGAGGGAAAATCAATCGACGAGGCTATAAAGTTACATAGACTGAGATGGCTAGGTCACGTGCTGCGCATGCTTAACCATCGCCTCCCCCGACGGGCATTGCTAGCTGATATAGGTGCAGGTTGGAAAAGAGCCAGTGGTGGCCAAACAAAAACATGGCTTTATCAATCCATGAAATCCTTGACAGTCAAACTGAGTCAGGTAGGGAGATGCAGACTTCCGGGTTAGGGCCCTCGGGACTCTAGGAACCAATGGCTGGAGACAATAGGTGATATGGCTCAAAATCATTGTTAATGGTGCAGATGCATTCAGTCTCTGTAATCTTTCATATTCCTTTCTATCATTACTCATTCTGTTTCACTATTATACTTGTCAAACTCTATTGATTCTCTTCACTCGTCTTCTTGTCTACATGTGTGTGCTATTTGGAACGTGGCAACTTGAACTGCTGCACTTCGGTGCCAAGTTCTATGTTGAATCCAGACAGACAGACAGCACTGGGTGACGCGGGTTCGAATCTCAGAAGGGATATGAGTTCTTTCATGGTTGCAGATACGCCTTGCTGACGAGTGCCAACTAGCTCAAAATCTAGGTCCAAGGGTTCCTGCCGATTGCCTCCTACCATTTAATATCAACAATTCTAAGGGAACACTGAATACCTGAGCAAGGACGTACATTCTCATTATATCACTAACCAAATAAATTTCAACATAGAATTTGGCACACAAGTGCGCAGCAGTCCAATTTGTCACACTCCATGTGGCACACAAAGGTGGACAACAAAGAGAAAAAGTTAGAGTAAAAACAATTATCATTATAATGAGCAGAAATGTGAAGAAGAAGAAGAAGAAGGATACGAACATGGATAAACATGATGGTGTAGTGGATATAAGGGATCACAGATTGTGAATGCACTTGTGCCTATTTTGTTATTTCTACATTTTTAACCCCTTATTGCACAAAAAGCCAATACTCTCTGTAATTATGATGCTACTTTGTTTGAGTTTCATCTGTCCCCCTGTTTATTATGGCATTTTAATTCCTAATTGTAATTTTATTAATTTGACCCTCAACCGGAAATTATTCTAGAACTTTCCCACCCATTTATTGTAATTATGCGAATGTACAGCCTAGTTGATGACTTCGTCGAAAAAAAATTTCCTTCGCTGCAACTGTCTTTTTACTATTACCTACGATATATAAATATATATACATATATATATAACCATGCAGGATAGTGTTCTTGCACCCTCTTGGACAAAACTCGAGTCGAACGACCGATATACCTAGCTCCACACGAGCAGGTGAATTGATAAGCACACATAGAGCTAGTCAACAGCGGGATCTTGTCCTTCAGGTTACTGAACAGTAATGGTCGGCTAGTAAAGGCTATTCTTAGAGATGCAACAGGGAATGTTCTTTTCAGGGACTGTGCTATCCTTCGTTTCATGATATCGGAAACTAGGTCCCCTTTGAATTCCAAGCTCATGTAAAGTATTTTCTTGGGTATGGTTGATAAGTCACGTTTTGTAGGCTTTGAATGTATATTCTTATCTATAAAACGTGGTGGAAATCCATTTTCTATTAGGAGTGGCAAGCGACCGGACCAGGTTTCGTTTTCAGCCAATGGGTACCCGGCTGTAGAAATTTGTCAGTTGACCATTCCATGACAGCTTACGATAAATCGATCTCTTCAAACTTCCATCGGTCCTCCTTGATATGTTCACATCGAGGAAATGAATGCTAGACTTTTTCTCCATTTTGAGTGTGAATTTCATCGCATGATGGCAATCATAAAATACATTTAATATATTATTCAAGTTACAATCACTATTACAAATAATAAAGGTGTCATCTACATACCTTTTATACATTTGAAAGCTTTGGATTATAGGCTTCAGCTGACCATTTTCTAGGCTGGACATAAAACAGTCTGCAAGGAGAGGACCCAAGGGAGAACTCATCTCAATACCATCCTTCTGTCTGCAGATCGTTTCAATGAAAGTAAACTGTACATTCAATGTACATCTCAAAAGTAGTTCTTTAAGATCTGTAGTGGGTATGCCTATATTCAATTTGTTGTCTTCAATATATTTGCATATAAACATACGGTCTCTGTCAGTGGAACGTTCGTAAATGGGGATTCTACATCCAAAGACAACATATGTGTATTCGACGCATTTATATCCTGTATACATTCAACAAATTGGAAGGTGTCCCGAAGGGAATGATTAGATAGTTGCCCCCTGACAGGTTCGAGTATTTCAGCTAACCAACCAGCTACTGGATGATAGGGTGGTCCAGACATATCCAAGATAGGGCGAAGTGGAAGGCCAGCTTTGTGTATTTTCGGTAGACCATACAGTCTTGGTATTAGAGACCCTGTTGGTCTGATCTTTTCGTATAATTCTTCACGAATTAGATGGTTGTTCTTCATTCTCTTTAAAGTATCGGTAAGTTGTTTCTCAACTAATTCCGACTTGTTTTTCTCGTTTGGTTTCGAGAATTTACCGCCGTCTGAAAGTAGACGTGACATTTTATCGATATAATCTTTACGATCCATAATAACAACACCTGTACCCTTGTCAGGGCGTATTAATAGTATATCGTTATGCGTCAAAAGTTTAAGTTCTTCTTCCGAATGTACTTTTCAACAGGACAGTGCAAATTGCATACAATACAGTATCTAGACTTGTCTTAAGGATGGTATCATTTATTTTCTTTGATCTTACCTCAAATGACTGGTAAGTGCCAAATGTACTGCTTAGTGAAATCTAGACCAAGTCATTTCACAAGACCTTGACGTTGGTCGACTAGTGTGTTCTGATCTTTTCATACAGAAAAACAATGACACCGATTTTAAGAGGTTTATTTATGGTTGTTACTATCACTCATGTAGAATGTTATATTTCTTCGCTCTGCTTAAGTAATTCATAACAGACAGTTGGAGACTTTAGTTAATATTGCCAAGAATATTCCATTACCTGTTTGCTTTATGTTAAAAGAAAAATTTTTTTATTTCAGGATCAAAACAAGTTAACTGAAAAGTGGATAGTGAAAAGAACACATGAAGTACTTATGGAATTTTATGCCTATAGTGTCTACTCTCCATTTCAACTGGCTGTTAACGCTGGAATTACAGCAATCAAAACCCAGTATCCTTTTACTTTGTCAACAGTATCTATTATTTGAATGTTAAGTTTCACCTTATTTTGTTAACGGGACCTATTGATCATTTCTGTGCAGTAGTAAGTGTAGGATTAAATGCGCCTACAGATATTCTATCCTCACTGTCAATCCTGACGCCACATAGTTTAGGCTTGACTATAGTTACAAGTCAGGTAACTTAACGTAAACTTTGTCTGTTTCTAAAATATAGAAGAAATAATAAAGTTACATAAAGATAACAATACAGAGACAACTGTCCATGAAAGAAGGACAAACACATACTGAACAGTATTGTGATGTGTGGAACAAAATGGTTAGTGAATTACATTCACGTACATATGAGAAATAGAATAGAATACTCATCCAAGATCAACCACCAGTGGTGGAAGTTTACACTAAAATAATCACATGGTAATCACGAGAGACAAGGCGAGGTCATACATATCGGTGGACTGTCATCAATCCTGTCTGTCGTGATTAACAGTAGGTATCATCTTACGTAGGAGTTTGTAATAATGAAGTTCATATTTTAGCTTAACTTGCATGCTGTTACAAATAACCAAAATGTGCAAGCAACTAGCTATTTTTCATTTATTTTAACTTCTTGTAAACTGCATGTTACTAAGTTTACGAAGTCTTTTCTACTCTTAACAGAGGCTCGACCTTCAGTAACCGTTCTTTTTACTGCGGTTTGAAATGTCAGATTGCATCACTACGCCTTGAACAATGCGTTTGGTTCATGGTCTAATGCAAAACAAAACACGTACTTTTGCTAAGCTTCATTTTATTATTTATCAATTTTCTACATCCTTAACTCAAATGGTTTTGTAATTCCAGCTATTGTTACAATCCAAGTACTCAACACAGGGATTGTGCTGTTTGTCATCCATTAATTAATCAGTTGGCAGTGAATTTACCTTTTGCGCGTCATGATCATTCAATACTGACATGCTACAAAACTGGTCTTCCTATGAATGATGACAATCCTCCTATGTCTTTACCAAACGGCTATGTGTATAGTCAAAAGGTATTAGGCTTTTCTTTTTACCACTGATGTTCGTGTAGCACCTTATATATATATATATATATATATATATATATATATATATATATATATATATATATATAATAAAGCCACACGATTGTCAACATTATCTTATTGCCTATGATGAGGGGCCTTTCTAGTGCCGAAATGGGTATCGACGAAAATTGGCACATTCATTCTTTGAATAGATCACTTTGTAGTGCACAAATATGTCCCTAAGTTTTTTTCCTGTGGCGTCAGTATCAGAGATATTTGATGGCATCAAGGTAATTCACCGAAATGGAAGTAAATGGCATATTGCTAAGTTATTTAAAAAACAGGATTATGAGTGAAATAAAATCTGGTTACATTTATCTAATATAGTTGTATGACCAAGCAGCATGTTTACCAACAGTCAATTCTTTGTGTTCATCAGAACTGTGCAGTCGCTCTGCTAATCAGATATCCTCTGTTCGGTGCATAACAATATGCAAAATGATATTTGAAAGCAACCATGTCCATTATCCTGAATGTACTTTAAAGTTTCCGTAATAATTAGCAATCCTGTAGTACAACTAAAATTTAATAAAAGTACTCAGTTATGCAATAGAGGTGATATGTTCGGAAGACACTATGGAAAACAAATTGATTACTGAGAACACCACATTGTTTGGAGCTTTTTGAGTAAATTTATAAAGGCGAACACAGACTTACTAAAGTGGGTTCGTTATCAAGAAACTATTAGTCATACGCTTGCAGTTTCGACAAAGTGTTTCATGCCTATTTTAAAAACATTCCGTGTTAGCATCGAAAAACTGTATTCTTCAATTCGATGTCTGTTATAGGACAAATTATGTAAATTACTATTCTAGGAGTGTGACTTTTCATCTTCTAAAGTGAGCGAATGGGAAGTGTAAACTGTATGTAACTTTATTAGTTAACTGAGGTCAGGCGGACAAAACCGATAACATAAATCATTCACTCTAATTTACTGATCTGACCGACGGGAACCCGGTTTTCAAATCTCAGCTTTATGAAACAGTTGCGAATTGTAGATGCGGGAAAAAGAGGTGTAACAGGTATCACTACCCTTACCCACTCTAGAATTCACATTCATTTATTGTTTGTTAATATGCTACTTTATAATTGCTCGTATTGTATTTGTTTACCTGCATCGGTGGTCTGGGGTTCGATTTCCGACCGGCGCAATCCTAAACCTCGATGACAGATCGTTTATAAGAGGCTAGCAACCCTACCTCCACAAAAACACCCCTATTGAGACTTGAGAGCTCGAGCTAGAAACCCTATTTCCCACTTGAAACGCAAATGAGCGAAAAAAATACTTGTTTATCTAGGTCTCCTTCTAATAGGTACTCGGGTTCAAGTCCCGCTGCATCTAATTCAGCCTCGGTAACTGAGTGGTAACATTAATCCACACACAGTAAGTGCGAGGGCTTATCGAGTAATAATTAACTAACAAACTTAAATACACAAGACTGTGCCTCTGAATCTCACTGTCGTCTGTTTTAAGAGTTTATCCTTTAGAACGGAAAATATGATTACACTTTGAAAGTATGCTAAGTAAACATTATCTATGTTGGTGCAGAACGGAGATGTATTAAAAGTATTGTTTTAGTGTTGAGCACCTTATTGCATCGGGGTTATCTGTTGTCACCATTTATAATTCCACTTCACGAGCAAATGATGTTAGTTAATAGATAATCCAACTGTGGTGAGAGCAGGCTGCTAGCCAATTGGTCGACATTAATCTACGTCAATGTTTAGGTCACTAATATTGGCCGTGAGAAAATATGAACAAGGCTGATTCAACAACCAATCACGGCAGACTTAAACGTGGGCAAACATGATTCGCAGATAGATGGCTCCACTCTCCGAGAAACTCGAAACAACCAATCAGAAGTCTGCGTTCGTCTGCTTAACTTCCGAGAAACAACCAATCAGAATGCGTTTGTCTACTTGAATAAGCTCTAATAATGCGCATAAAATATATATAAATAGGTGCTGATTTCCGTAATAAAATGATCTGTTGCCGGCCCTTGTCTTTTGTTGTTACACAACCACTATATCATGACTTCGAATACCGTCCAGCATACTCTCACCTGGTTGACTACATAGTACCATCAATCCTCACACAATAATTATGGTTCGCAGTCCACCGCATAAGAAATCTGTGTCGGGTAGCTGAGTTTCAACCAACCGTATCGGTGTGCACCTCCTTTCGATACAGCTCATAGTTAATTCTCTTATCAATGTTCACCCTCAGTATACCAATATCGACTGAAATGGATAAGGATAATAGAAGCATTTTTGGCAATGATCACTGTATATGCTACTAATAACAGTTTCTCTTAAATTTTTTTTGTATAAAGGGTATTGCTGAATTAACTCATTCAGACGGAACAATAACATGTCCACGTTCAGGAAAAACTTTCGAAAGTTCTCAGGTTCAAAGAGTTTATATAGTCTAATAATTACTTGCATCTCTCTTTTAATTTGATTGTTTTCTTTTCATTTTCATCATTTCTTATTATACGCTTTTTGACAGTAGCTGTAACTAACTAAGATGTGTACAAAATAATATCCTTATGTTAAAGTTTAATGATTGTTACTGATTTGAACAAAAACATGATATCGATTCAATTGTTACAATATACGTATTGTATACAGCTACATAATATAATTTTCAAATAACTAAGATGCTTTTTTGACGATATAAATTAAAACATCTGGGTGATTCATATTAGAGATACCTTCTATTATAGTATTACCCTGATTTTCTACTGCCAGTCGGAAAAGTTATTGCCAAGTGTGTGTGATATACTTTGTGGTTATCTCAAAGCTCTTCTTCTTGTCTATTAAAGAATAGGATAACATTGTAAAATATAGGTCGACCTGAAGCAGCCAGACATTTACTAAGGACTTCTTACGTTTGCGACAGACAATGGGCAATGAGGAAACAGGTACTGTAATAGATGCTGTGACTAGTCACTAAGTGATAACCGGTGTCATTCGTTTAGTCCGTGGCTTTACTTTATAAAACCATTGTAACCAGCGTGTATATGTTTAGCCTCATGAGTTTGAGCATTTCACTGTTGTTAGTGTTTTAACTGGCGCGGAATTATGCTCCTGTTCATCCCAAGCAGAATACTAAGCCGCATCATCCTGGAGAGAATCAAACGAGCCCTAGATGAAAAACTCCGACCGGAACAAGCTGGATTCAGGAGAAACAAGTCATGTATTGATCAAATCGCCACTCTACGGATCATCATTGAACAAGCTTGGAATGGCAGTCACCTATCTATCTTAACTTCATCGACTTTGAAAAGGCCTTCGACAGAGTCGATCGAGTGGTCATTTGGCAACTACTTCGCCACTACGGGGTGCCATCGACAATTATACATCTCATCCAACAGTTATACGACAATGCTGCATGCCAAGTAATCCACAACGGGAAACTTACGGAAGCCTTCGAAGTGAGGACGGGAGTGAGGCAAGGCTGTCTACTATCGCCAATGATCTTCCTGATTGCAGTAGATTGGATAATGAGACAGACAACGGGCAATGAGGAAACAGGCATAAAATGGACTCACACAAAAATCTTTGAGGATCTGGACTTCGCCGATGATATATGTCTGATTTCCCAGAAACTGGAAGATATGCAAGTGAAAAACAACAAGTTGGCGGAATAAGCATCAAAGATAGAGCTTCAGGTGAACATAGATAAAACAGAGATGATGAAGATTCCTGGCCAACAACAATCAGCATAAATGGGAGGAACCTGAAAGAAACAACCTCCTTTACCTACCCGGGAAGCATCGTTTCAACTACAGGCGGAACTGACGAGGATATCAAAGCCAGAATCGGAAAAGCAAGACAAGCTTTCATTACTCTTAAGTCTGTGTGGAAGTCAACAGCACTCGGAATCAGAAATAAGATCCGGATTTTCAACTCCAATGTGAAGTCAGTGCTACTATATGGACCAGAGACTTGGCGCGTCATAAAGAGCATTTCAAACAAACTTCAGACCTTCATCAACAGCTGTCTTCGCTCAATACTCAAGATCAGATGGCCGGCCAGGGAAGATCAGCAACAGGGATCTCTGGCAGCGAATCAACCCAGCAGGAACCGATTGTGAAAGAAATAGGCAGGAAGAAGTGGAGATGGATTGGCCATACTCTGAGGAAACCATGAAGTGACATCACTAGACGAGCCATTGTTCAAGTGGAACCCGAAAGGGGAGCGGTGAGTTCGCGTCAATGCAAGGGTGACTTGGAGGAAGTCATGTGAGGAGGAGATGAAAGGGTATGGGCAGACTTGGAGCGGGGTGAAAAAGTTGGCAGAAAACAGAAGGCGATGGAGATGCGCAGCTGAAGCCCTATGTTCCTCTAGGAATTAAAGGATATAATAATAGTAATAATAATAAATCTTCACGTTTAATAATGGTTAGAAGAATTGCTTGAAATGACTGCAAAGATATGGCTCGTGTTACAGAAACGTGTCATATTTCACTGTGCCCTTAAACAACAGGAATAGTGACGCAGTGATCTATAACCTTTGGAAAATATCTCAAAATAAACATAAAAGGAAATATGGTCACTGTCAAGCAGTTGTCCTAGTGAATATACTCTAGGACGTCTTATTGGTTGGAAGAATACTGTCAGGTTGAGAAATTAGGTGTCAACAATTAAAATTGTGCTTTGGGATGGGGTGTAAAGTGAATTTTTAGTTTATGTATCCACGAGTGAAACATGATCGGTTTCCTAGTCGTGTTTGGGCTGGTTGCACAACTCGAAGTCTTAGAAAATGCGTATGTCAACTCTGAATTTGCAACTTATGATGTATCTCTTTAAGGAATGGGACAGTCAAACAATTTAAACAGTTAGATGGGATTACGTCTAACTCTAACATTCCAACTACTGAATCAGTTTGACTGGTAACTTTAAGGTGTCACTTTTAGATATTTCTGATGCAAGTTGATCGGCGTTCTCTGGCTTTCTATGGTTCGTGTTACTCAACTCTGCATGTAACGTCTAGTTTGTCACTATTTGACGCCATAATAATAAAGACAGGTTGACTAAAGTCCTTGTAATCTTCTGCACGTGGTCGTAAATATTATTCCCTCAAACAACAAGCATATCACTAGCTGCAATATCAGTAGACCTGATGTGTGTAACGAGTCTAAACAAGTGACAGCCATTACTATGAAGTCATACAAGATAACTTGTGAAAGTGCGGTATTTCGAGGAAATGTTACCTAGCATACACTTTCAGGTTCTAAACCTTCAAAAAAGGCGTAACAAAGGTTTTTTTCTTGCGCAAACTGTCTCCTCCTGTGGCTGCATATTTCAGCGATAACATTCATGAGAATCAGCCGTTACATTTAAGAGTTAAATATGCCGTCAGCTACCACAAATATTGACAGTAAGCTGAAATAGAATCACTGCAGAAACAAACAGCAGAAATGTTTACACTACAACAATGCGATAACCTGAAACGTTATGTGAATCTCTCACTTCAAAAAATACTGAGTACTTAGTTGACTGGACAGGAAGAAACAATTTTGGTCTGAGTATTAAATTAGTTGGTATCTGTACAAAAATATACATACAGTAGTTTATGAAAAGAAAAGATTCAGTTCCCCTCTTCTTCTTCCTCCTCTTCTTCCGCTTCAAAATCAGAATTTCCAGTTGGTCTTGACACAGACTGACCATCATTTGGATCCTGATAACTGAATTGCATACCGTTACTGTTTTCGATACCAAGAATCTCTCCAGTTTGTGCCATACTGGCTAACAGATCACTAGACATGTATTTTTCGAGAATTTCGCGTTTCCGCTGAGCTACCAACGCTGATTCAATCTGGGAATGTAGTACAATTAAAAAAGAAAAACTTCAAGTGTCATTTCTGGTACATTAATCAAAATATTATATACCTACATATCTTGAGTTTATTTTGGAATCAGTTATTTCACTGTTACGATTACTTATCACTAAGCCTCGATGAGAAATGGTTATGCATATTTCAAGAGATCGTTTATAATTTTTATAACATTCTAATATAATCTATCTAGTATACTTTAAGGTAACCGCTTTTATTTTTCTGAATCCCATAATACTACTGTTAAATTAAAAAAACAAAGATAACATAAGAAGAATGTATCAATAAACAACAAATATTCGCTCACCTGCTCTTGTGTATAGACTGGAACATGAGCAACAAATGCTCGCTTCACTGTTGTGCTTAAAGAACTCATAGATTTGTTTGCCAACTTTGTAGCATCATCCAACGTATTAATACTTTCATCACCATTTACCAATGCTACTAATTGTTCAGCATTCGTAAAGTCAACAGATCCAACCTCATTGCCCTCATCAATCGCTTCGTAAAGGCGCATCAGTTCTATATCAGCTGGCTATGTGATAGAAAAAAAGAATTAGTTGAATGTTTTGCAAAAAATAAGGGGTTAAAATTGAAATAAATTGTAAACAAGAGTCATTTAGTCATTAATTAGAAAGGCGCGTCTGTGGTTCAGCTATTAAATGCCTGCCAATCACGAAAGTGGTCCGGAGTTGGATCCTCGGCTGATGCACTATTAAACCTCGCTAAGCCGATAGTAAGGCTGGTAAAGAGCGAAGGTTGGGCATGAAGCTAACAACCCCATCCAGTAAAAATAAAACCACTACCGAAACTTTAAAGCTTTAACTAGAGGCCCTATGTTGCGCCCGAAAATAAAGAAATACATTAGCGAAAAAATAGATTAACATATAGCTGAAATCATACTAGATAGGTCCACTAAACATTGCTTCAATAATACCATTTTATCAGATACTACTAATAAGGACCATTTTCTATAAGAGTTACACAAAAGACTGCTGAAGACAGATAGCGTGTTCAGTAAAATAAATTAAAATGACTATTGGTAAAACATTAGACTTTCCATTCAGTTCACTGTTGGCACTAATTATGAGCATTTTGGGTTAAAAAAACGTAACTTATTCTGTGATCTCCTTTATTCTCTTTATTGGTGGGTGGGGAAAGTGGAAAAGTTATCAGTGATAGGTATTATGCTTCAACAACTTGAGCTTAAAATAAAAACAGATTCTAAAGAGTATATAGTAAGTGATGTTAAAAAATGGTTATCTTTTCAAAAGAAACGGCTCGATTGGTGAACAGAACATTATGAAGAGCAGTTCAACTGTCTTACACATGGCCATAATCCAACGCCAGTCTGAATGTGATGTACATATTGGTTTGTCTACGTTGATCGAAGTCTCAAAATTCAGGATGACATAGGTGCTTAAGAATTGCGGTAGTGAATTATTGATTAGAGTATCTACGTATTACTTAGTGAAAAAGTTCAACCGAATTAGTTCAGTTGATTCATACCAATTTATAAGGGTGGAAAATTTCCTACATTAATCACAACGGCGTGAACTTTAAAAGTATGTTACCTACGATTCTAGGCTCCATAGTCATTTTAGACCAAGCGAAGTTACTGCACTTTGAAATAATACGTATAGAAAAAGGCAACATAAATGATACGAACTTCTGATGAACAAATGTGAATGTGAGAAAGGGACTATAATCCAATGAAGGCAAGTTGATATGAATTTCAATGGCGCTAAAGTAGATAATACGGATTTATTTTTGAGAATTTTCACCGATGTAACAGTCTCCACCTACTTACTGTTAGGGACTCGTCGGCTTCATATACGAAGGCTTTTATAACATCTATTTTCTACTCAGAGGTAGAATGTTCGCCGACTATGCGTGTAGTCTGGAAATCGATACCCGGCCGAGGCACTCCTAAACCTCGCTTAGCCGGTAGTAAGTTTGGTAAAGGAGGGTTCGGAATGTGCCTAGCAACCGCACCTCGTAAAAATAACACCACTGCTACTGAAAATTCGAAGTTCACAGCTTGAAGACCTATGTACGATTTGGAACGCAAAGGAATTAAATAAAAATACCCCACTCCATCACTTATTTTAATCTGACGAAAAAAAAACAGATGTTCCAAATTTTCACTGGTGTGTCGGTGTTCGCACATCGTTACATTTGTAATATAACCCTCCGAGTCATCTACTAACCTATGTAACCTACGTTCAATTTAAATTTTCTCTGTGCCAGTCAAATCATCACATACGGTAAACAATTTCATCTTTCTATGCCTAGCTCTGTTTTTTATTAGTTACTTTCATTGTGACTGATTCTGCGTTAGGACTAATTCTGGCTACCCAATCACTTTATTTAGTAGTGAAATGAGCTTTCATCCTATTTATTGTATTTTCTAAAAATCGTCTTAGTGCTGAATTGTCTAGTGTGTTCTGAAAATGGAATATATTTGTGCGGAAAAAAGTCATACTTTTAAGCAATTTTCCTGTTATTTTAGTACTAGTTTTTAGTTTAAAGAACCTCCTTAGTTTGAACTTCGGATTTCACTAGTTTTCTGCGTTAATTCTTTTGGTGAGGTCACTGCCACCAGGGACTTAAATCCGTCATTACATACTTAAATATAAAAATAACTATCGAAAAATTCCTATCCCAAACATTATGTTAGCTATATAAAAACACAAAACACTACTGCTGGCCTAAATGATGCATATATTAATGTGAAAAAAATTAGTTTGATATACTTACATTATCTCCAGCGTCATATATGTTTCTTGTATCAGCGTTGTCTTCGTCCAAATCATCTATTTCATCACCAGTAGGATGTTTAGCAGCATATGTTGGTAAAGAATCATTCTCCTTACGTGCTTTCCATAAAGCAACTTTATGAGCTATGGCTGCAAGAACAGAATTACATAAAGAGAAATTTCTGTACCTTCTTGTTCATAAATGGCCTCCTGGGGAACAATCACACCATCATCTTCATCACAGTTGCCGTAATACGATACATCAACCAGCTTCATTAGCTCTCCTCTGGATTTCCTTGCAACTGGCTGGGCTAGAAAATTAAAATAAGTACATTTTTAGTAGAACGAAAATAGTAGGCTTGTAATTGTTGTTTCGAATAAAAATAGTATATAAAATGGACTCTATACATCTAAGTACATCTACAAAACAAATTCGAGACTATTGTAATATGTTTATTAATGCGTTGATTGCAGAGCGGTTAGGACGCTCGCTGACCATGCACATTGTCCGGGGTGCAATCCTCGGACGACGCACACCTGATATCAATGGTTGGCATGCCAAAAATTTGGGCTACCCATATCACACGCTGAAAATTCCATACTTGTATCAAAAATATTGTGTGAAGTCAAGCTGTAATAAAATAAAAATTTGTTTAATGTACAAAACCGAAAAGGAATTCCAAATGACAAAATCTCCGGGACAAAAATACTAAAAATCATGGTAAAACAATAATCTAGTCTGCATTTAATAGAAAATATTTATGCATCAGGATACTTGCTTATTACTTGCATCCTAAGTGCAACACAGGGAAGTAGCTATAAGGTTATTCCTATGGTATTCGGAACAGTTCAACCTTAGAAGAAACAAATGTACAACATAGTTTAACAACTTCCGAGTACAAAATGCTTTCTAGATTAATTTCAGACATTAAATATGCATGACCATCATTTTACTAACAGATATCGGTATCTGAATGATAACAAAAAGTTTATGGCAGAAAACTTCTATTGGCACATGTCAGGAACAGCATCTCAGCAACTTGTGCACTAAAATAAAGGCGGTAGGCTATGTAGTAGATTCATCATTCACAGACGAAAGTGAATCGAAAATCTAAGATGGAATCAGTATTGTTAATAATTAGTAAAACTGGTATTTAAGGCAGTAACAAGGATTTTCTAATTTCGTCTGATTTTATATGTCGTACATATATTCTCTCAAGCAACGACTAACTCAGTTTACGAATATCACAGCTGGGGTGCTTTTTCCCGATCATTTTAGACTTTTCTCTATACAATTCTCAATGCGAGAACAAGGATAATGTTATTGGTTCCATTAGGGAAAAATAAATTATTCACTTTTAGACTTCACTAGTATAAGTTGGCAACATTCGTTGCAAATACTAATAATGGATGTTTATATGAACAAGATTCAGCAATCTTCAAGTCTTAGTGCACTTTTATGCTACTAGCTGCCACTTCTTTTGGTTTCAGTAGCATTACAAAATCTTAGTGACATGTCAATGTGTCCCGGTTTTACACTTACTTCCACCTAAAGTAGCGTGAGCAACTATGTAGTATTATCAGTTCTCACACATGAAGTACGACTTATGGTTTAGTACTCAAGACACCAGTCCTAACAGCAACAGTTTTCTTAATGATTTCCAAGTCATACATTTAAGCACTAGGGTTGTAATGGACACGAATTTACTTACGATCTTCTTCAAATAATTCCCGGACACCAGGCAAATCGCGAGCGGCTCCATAATACCTGTATCCTCGATTGCCAGGGACTTCTTTACCTTCTTTTTCTAACATTTTTGGCGCTTCAGCCTACACATGTCTTAGGGACAGTTGTCCTTACTTTAAAATCAGGCCCGCCGAGGTTTTTGATATGGTCTTCCCAATGAGACTTCTCTCGAATAAGCTTGTTAATGTCATCGTTTAGGTCTCGTAATTTATACTCCCCAAGGCTGGCTAAGAAAAAATTAATAAAGTAATTCGACGCACGATTTTGGATCTGTGCTATTTTCCGAGATATTTCATGAACAATCTGTCGCCTGTAATATAATGAATCTTTCAACCCAGTGCATTCTGAAGCGATAAAAGGTCTTTTCTTTGTCTCCTGAACCTTGTCGACATACACTGCTCTCCAGCGAGCAAGAGCTGTCCTGAAGTATACCTCATTTATAAGTTAAACTGACATACATTGCTTTTTCTGCACTTCTAGCCTGTAATTGATTAAAAAAGGTGAACTTGAACATACCATTTCTGTTCCGAATACGACTTCGCCGACTCACGGTGAATACGCGTACGGCCTTGAAAGGACTACCACCAATCTCCCGCCAGTCCAATATCCAATGATGTTTTCGTGAGCCAATATAAATCACATTGTTTCCTTCGTCCTCACTTCTTGATTGTAGAAGCTTCCGGTCTTTGCATAACTTCCACGTTTGCCAGTCGATTTCTGGTGCTTTTTTTTAATTCAAAAGGTGGTGCTAGAATTGGTTAGATGTGGTTAGTTGTGTGCGACTTGTTAAGAACGTGTCGCTGTCGTGAGTGGAATTGGTCCTTTTACCCGTCTACCGTTTGATGTTGCCTAGAAGTGAGATAATAACTACAGGTGTGATTAATGAAGATTTCGGAAAAAAGAAAAAGAGAAACTTACAAACACACTGATAATTAAATTCGGTGAGAATGTAAATAATATAAAACATAAACAATACTGATAAAATAAGTAAATGAACGGATACAGCAGTCACTTTACTAAGGAAAAAAGGGGATAGGAAGTTTTAAGGGGACGAGTGCAGATGTATACCCAATAATAGTGTGTGAACTTCAATGGAATGGACGCAGTCCTTGTATCTCTGAATGTTGCCCATCCTCGGCTAGAGGCTTTCTATGTGCAGTGCGGTAGCCACGTCTCCTCTAGAATATTTCCAGAGTCGTCAAACTCAGGTAGAAGGAAGTGGAAGCGCGCTGAACTGTGTGGTCACTGATGCTTCATAGATCATGGACTATGATGTGGAAGCCTTTACTTAATTGCAGAACGCATCTATCTAGGTGATCCTGGTCGGTCTTATAAACGGCGACCAGCTAAACCCCAATCAGGCAGTAGTGTAGGGATTTTGAGAAGCGATATGGTTATTCAGATATGGTGACTCAAGAGCTTAGAAGAATGGGGCTAGTATCCATGTCCTCTCTTGTATTATTAAGGCTTCCTTTATCTATCGAATTATGAATGCCCTACCGTGTATGACTAATCCATCCTCTACACTTGCCCAGTGTCTTGCTTCTAAAAATCAAGCTCCAAAAACGTCATTGATCTTCTACCCTGATATGAGCTCTCAGTCAGCAAATTTAGTAATTCTTTTGATAGAAAGGTAGCGTTCAAAATTACTGAGATCCCTCTGTTCACGCCATGAGTTCTATTTTATTATAATTGACAATAATAAGTATATTCCTGTTTTAGGTTGTTTTTCACTGATACTCACTCACTAATTTAATCGCTATTTCACTACAACGGCTCGCTGGCCGAATACTGAAGGTGAATTAGAGGCTGACGATACTGACGTTCACGGATAGTACAAAGTATACTAACGCAAGATCTAATACCCACAACTTCTATAGTATTCGTTCCGCGCAAACAAACAGCAAAGCAAAACACGGTAATTGATCGTCCAAATTAAGAGATATATTTCGGGACCAGATTGAAGTTCTAGAGGATCCCTTAGCTGGCTAGGGATTGTGCAGGAACGTGGCACGATGGAGTACCAGATGGGGGTGGATGCTTGACCGGGAGCCTTCAGCTAAACAAGTCGACTTGGAAAGTGAGGGTCAGCATCCAATATTCAGTGATGATTGCTTTGGTCAATAATTTTGGGGAATTATTAAACGCTACAGCTCACTCCCTCTAGTGGGGTTGTGAGGACCCTAGGACAGAACCAGCCGGAAGTAAGAAAAGGCTCGTTGGTTCCTTACCTGTAAAAAACTCTTCCGATCAGCCTGATGTTGTGCCTACTGGTAATCTACCTATGCTAATAGGGTGTCTGTACATCGCTTCATTGATATTTTTCTGTTGGATCTCGTGCTTCATTTGCTTCCTATCCATTGCCCGTCGCACCTGGAAGAGAAAACAAGAAGGCCAAGAACCTTGTTGGGAAAGATGCACCAAAATAACGTTTGAAAAATGATATGCATCAACCATAAGATAAAACGATGTGAAGATTAGAACATCGAAAAAAGTATATATCTAATTATTTTAGTGGATGTAACATGAACGGTAATAGAAAAGCTTTTTAACTTGTGTTGCGAAATGCAATGAAAAAACTGATGTGTGTGAATTAAAAAAGCAATAAATACTACAAGCGAATAAGATTTGGGTGGATAGCATCATTCACTTATGTGATGCAAGTGTGGAGATGTTCTGGAAATCTCACGTTTCGTCCAGAACGCGTTCTCTTTGAGAGCTTGACAGAAGGCTAGGTGGCTCTCGCGGTGCTAGTGATTTTTTCGAGTACTAACGGTACCATATGCAGTGGGGAGGCCCAAGAGCTATTCGATGGCAGAATGATTCCAGGCGTGAGCATATGGTCGAACTCATTTCTAGAGAGCCTCAGTTTATTAAGAGCAAATCATAGTGCTTTAGATGTCACGGGCTGTCTTGAGGCTATGATGTGGTGCACAACACTGCTGGTTGTGCACGGTAGACCGTTAGACGGGCAATTAAGTTCCGGGTCTTTATCAACAATCGGTTGGAACGTTTGATCAAGGATTGCCTTCATCTTGACGAGTGACAAGTTCAGGCCTACATTGGTGATGCGTTTGACAGACAGTCTGCAAGTAAATCATGATGATTAGGTAGGCCCACGCTAATGATGGGCATTGTGACGTCAGTGAGAAGGAAAATGCACTGAGTAGGTTTGCGCAAACTTAAGTTCAAATAGACGTGTTTCCTACCAAAGTTTGCAATTGGCTTTTCATTTGCAGCCTGTAAGTTGAAGGTAGGTTCCTTCTGTGAATCTCCCGCTGTAGCAAGAGGGACGCTAACTTCGGAGCCTGTGTCGACTACGTATCGGATCTGGCTGTCCATATCACGAATGTAAAGTAGGCGACTAGTGCCACCGACGACGGTTGTCGTTAAATTTATTTTCCAACCTCTTAACTCTATTAATTTCATATGTATTCCTGAGACAAGTCCATGTGTCAATCACGTCTCATAAACCGTTAATGCCCAGCTCTCGCTACGCTCGGGCCCACGCTGTTCCTTGAAGTTTTCATAAACGCTTAGTTATAACGGACGAAAAAACCAAAACACCGATCTGCCGCTTGAGATTTCTTTATTGTCACACCAACATATAAAAATTATAACTGAACTAAGTTCTGTGAACAAATATTACAATAATAAATCTCTGTATTACTTCTGACGATGTTTCACTCTTCTTTCTGAACAGCGACCGATGAGACGATGACTGTCGTATTGATGCCTCCGCGAAAATTGGGGAAGTTGATTTTGAGCAAACAACCGTGAATTGATCGTTCAATCTTCAACTCCATTGACACCATGCTTGTCCAGATTGTCCTAAATTGGTTGCGCAAATACAACACCGCACGATTTAGACAAATTTGTCTTCTTATTACCTTGTCTAAATATCCACTTGTGTCAAAAATAGTGACCGATGTAATCGCACATTGATATAAACTTCCATTAATTCTTACTGTGCTAACTTGTTATTGACTATATTGGTGGTTATATTCATATATACATCCCGTGAACCCTTGTTTTCTTTTTTAGCTACCCTGTAATTCCAGTGTCCTCGTGGGATTCATCGCTGAAAAAAGTGGTTTCCAGTATCGTCGATTTTGTATATTATGTCAAATCACTAATAAATATATTCCCCATACCTCAGATGGACAATTCACTTGTTAATAGTGACTAATAACTTTATAGAATGTTGTGAGCTACAGAGTTAGGGAGATTAGTTAGGGTCGTGCGTTGTATTTAGTAGTGCGTTTAAAAGATACATTCGCCACTTAATTATATTGTCGTCAGTATGCAGTACATTCTTGTTCTCACAATAAATTTGTTAGCAGGAATTATTATCGGTACCTATATTTTGGAAGGATGGTATATAACGAAACGTACTAATTTAGCAGTCAAAGGTTAGAACTATCCGTTAAAATTGAAACAGGTGCTCATGTAAGGGGAATTTGATTATTCAAAAGTCGAAATATAACGCAAGTGATAAAGTTATTAGCATCGTTTACATGCGAACAGTTAAAGTTACGTATTTTGAAGTGATGGTAACTTGTAGATAGTTTTAAGGATGTATTCAGTGATAAGTAACATAGATGAGACAGTGTAAGTGAATAACAGTATAACTGTATAAGCAACATCAACTGGCCAGTATACACATAATAATAATTTTTTATTTCTGTAACACAAACCAGCCATTTTTACAGGCATGAACATATGTACACTTATGAAATCTTATAGAATATATAATATGATTTGTTAATTTAGAAATAAGTTGAATACTGGTAAATGTGAGAGAAACATTTAAAATGAAGTGTACAAATAAGGAAATAGATATAGCGTCAAATCTAAACTGTGATTGAAAAAAATACATGTCAATTTCACGCGGGAATCATAAATGATTGCGTTAGTTGGGAAGGTAAGTAGCATTTCTGTACAGGTGCTGACGTGGTACATAAGAGATGCAGAATAAACAATAATTATCAGTAAATCATTCAGAAAGAGTTTTAAAGTCTATTAAATTTTATATTCACCTGTAAGTACGTCATATTTGTGACATTTCCAGTTGTTTATGAGACCCACTTTGAACTTGTCAGCAGATTTTATAATACCGATGATCCCGTTATTCACCAGATGAGCCAGCAATATCACGAATAAGTAGAGAATTGCAGCGCTGTATCAGTACCTTCGTTGAAAGCAGTGTGTTTGAAAAGAGAAGAAGACACAAGAAAACCGGCAGACAGGTGCAGAAGTATATAAAAGGTGTTAATAATTCAAAATATATAACAGGCATGGGGTTCATCGTTTTTTAATGTTTTTTTTTCAGGAAATATTATTTTCCCGATATTTTACAGTCGTTTCTGCGAACAATTAGTTTAAAGTGAAAGACAGGAGATAATTTCACCTACTTACGAGGTTTAAAAGGAATTAAACACAAAAGTCAGAGTGCGTGAGCTATGTAAAAGAAAAGGGAGGGCCTAGTAATATATGTTTTTCTGAAGTATACAGTTCGGTGTCCTTCTGAAGTAGCGGATTCATACCATTTACTTTCATTCGGGAGTTTGCGTTTAAACTTCGGCTCTAGGCAATTTTCAACTT